ATATGGAATAATGAAAAAAAAAAAATAAAAAAAAAAAAAAAAAAAAAAAATCAGCAAAATTGGTCTTAATTTTAATGTACTTGTACGACAAAAATTGTCTCTGATATTTGGAATCTGCAATATTTTCTCTCAGGTTAATTAAGTTGGTTTGTCAATTAAATCACCAACTTCTGCATCTTTATCTCAATAATACTTCGTCCAAAATTCCAAATAATTATTATATTATATTTATTTATTTATTTTGTGGGTGTTTGTTTTGTCGTCCAAAACTGGATAATCTCCGCTTTTCCAGCCAGACTTCTGCGAAAAGCATACTTGACCATCAAAGCATTAAATTCCGGTTTTTCACAATTACACATCAATCTTGGGTTAGTTTAGCAATTAGCATGGCTTCTCCGTCTTTCCCCAACATCCCTTACTGAGAACCGTGCTTGTCAGAAGTGTAGCATATTCGCCATCACAGAGGCAGTGATTACTGACTGAGGGGTGAATCAGCAAGCCAGCCAAAGCTCTTTACTTTGTAACTAGAGAGGCGTAAGTTGCGACTTCCCTCGTGCATGCCTCGACTATGGTACTTCCCAGCCTAGGTAACGCAAGCGCATTGCGTCTCATCCACATGCGTCCAGCCCAGCAAAGCTCTTTGGGATCCGTGGGTGCGATTTTTAAAAATTACTGACCAATCTCATGTGTTGAAAATGGCTTGCTTTCTTTGACGATGCAATGTTAATTTTTGAACAAGCATGCGGTTTTTTGTCGTCTCCTGAAAAGTGAGGATTTTGGACATGGATTTTACCCGACATCAGCCATATGGATATTGAGAAATGGCACCCTGAAAAGGTTTTTTGTCTGCTAAAAATGAAGAAATTGGACTACAATGCTGCTTGATGAAATGCTACATAGGATGTGAGGATAAGTGGTCCGGAAACTGGATGGATGGGTGGATGGATGGATGGCTTGTGACTCCATATCAACATATAGGACAAGGCTTTAATACATCATGGCATCATGACATCATGGTGGGATCGCTCCTGGATTTTGTTTTTTTAATTGAATCATGAACAGTGGATGAATGAAAATGTACATACACTGTTCAAATGCCAGATTATTTTTGTATAAAACTAATGAGACCAAGACAAATCATGTCCAGTTTTTTTACACTATTAATGTGTTGAAAAAAACGTGTGAGAGGGAGTAGAAATAACAAGTGAGATCATCAGATTCAACCTCATCTGCCACCATTAAAAAAAAAACAAAAAACAACTAAAGAATTGTGGTCCTACCAGGCTTTTCCTGACATTTTGCTTTTTAGTAGAACACTGACGGCTACGTGCTTACACTGCTGGTCATTGGTACCTCCATATTCTAAGGCGCCAATTCCAATTAAAGAAAACCACTAAGCCCCAACTATATCATGCTGTGCCACCACCATTCTTGACTGCACGTATGGTGTAGATCAGGGGTCCCCAACCGCCGGTCCGCGGACCGGTACCGGTCCGCAGGGCATTTGGTACCGGGCCGCACAGAAAGAACTTGCCTTAATTCCGTTTCATTTATTTCGGAATATGAAAGATGTTTTATTTTGAAAAATTACCGGATTCTCCGTTACATCCGTCTGTGTCACGCTTGACACATGTCAAGCCGCGCTTCTTCGTCACGTGACCGATTACGCTAAAAACAAAACGCTAGAGCTCGCAAAATGAGTAATAAAAGTGCTGGAGAGCGCAAATGACGGCGGCCTTAAAAGTACGTTCGAGACAACTGGATTAAAGTTAATTACCCCGAGATGGGACCGTCTGGTTGCAGAAAATCAAGCTCGGGGCTGTGGTGAGTCGTCATTGTCATGCACTTTGAATTTGCGTTGTATCGTATTTTGAAGGCATTAAACATTACCATAGCGATCAGAGAGAGTGTTGCGGCCAGATTAGACGCTCCTTGTGTTTATTATTATATTTCGAAAACACCACAGTTTCCATGCAGCTCATACCATATTATTTTGTTGTATTATTTCCGCCACACCTTAAATGCCGGTCCCTGGAAATATTGTCTGACATAAACCGGTCCGTGGGGCAAAAAAGGTTGGGGACACCTGGTGTAGATGATGGTCCGAACAAAACAATTCCTTTGGGCCATAATTCCCAAAGGTTTGTTTGGCACAATCACAAAGCCACGCATGATCAAAAGAACACCACACCAAATGTGAAGCATGGTGTTAGCTGGACCTGGGGCCTCCGTCGAGGTGGAGAAAATGATTAATTATTGTTCCAAATAGAAATCAGCGTGAGTACAAAACCTTCAGGCCTCAGCTCTACAGCGAGTTACAAGTCAGAAAAATCTGTTTGCTAACTTTTAATTCACATGAGTCTGAATGTGATTGGTTAATTCTAAACAGAGCCGTATCCCACTTTTATGAGGGTGTGCACACGTGTGCATATTTTCTCAGTTGTTCAATTTTACTTGCCCTCTTGAAAAGATACATAGCAACAACGCATGCCAGATTTACCTCAGTTTACCAATGAAGCTTTCTCCACCTCGGGACAGATCGGTGGGGTCAATGGAGATGAGGTAATTGGAGGTTTTACTCTTTTTTCTCTTCCTGCCTGCTAACAGAAACACCTGGGGCAAAACAAAGTACAATAAGTACAATTGTAAGATGCTTTTTTTTTTTTTAACATTAATCATTTTCAGAACATGTTACACTGCACAGTCCATGTGTTGATGTTGCATCCTCACCTTCTTGCCATCCTCTCGCTCCAAGTGAAGATAGTAGGTGGGATACATGCCTCTGTCCATGCCTTTCTTGTCCCTGGTGATTCTGCACTTCACTCGGACCCCCTGTGGTGCAGGTCGCAACGAAAACTCTTCCAAGTCTTCCACATCAACGGCCGGTTCAGTGACTGGTGGAGTTGGCGCTGATGCAACCTCCTGTAGGGGGAGAAAACATCAAAGGTGAGACCCCTCTTCAAAGAGTATGTGAGTAATGAATTACACCACGTGTAGATTTGATGATTTGAGAATGGAATACAGAAGACTCACAACTAAGCTCCAAGAATAAGAAGATAGAAGATAAAGAATATATGCATGATTTTATATCAGTCTATCTATCTATCTATCTACTGTATATATATATATATATATATACACACACACACACACACACACACACACACATTTATTTATTAAATGGCAAATCAATGCATGCCACAATTCATGATCTCAAAACATACTTTTACCTTGCATGACTTTTTGCTGGTGGCAGAGCCTGGTCTTGTGTTGTTGTTGAGCTGTGATGAGGTGGAACTAATTTCATCGTCATCATCTTCCTCCTCATCAAAATTCATACTGCTTGATATTCCTTCGCAGACAACGGAAATAAATAAGGTGTCAGTCACTGGAAGACGATTTTCAAAACCGCATTTCGCATTCCATTTTGGTTCAAGTTTGTTGGTCATGAGGCTTTGTTGATGTACACCAGAAACAAATTGCACCTTTTTTGAGCATGGTCACCCGTAGGTCCTGCTTGCTCTGTGACGGAGTGCAGCTCATGACCGGCTCCCCATCGCCATCCTCTGATGAAAGGTGGCCCACTGTTAAGATTTGGATCTGACCGTCCTCTGACTGGCAGGCCAGGCTGTCCATCCCTCCTGAGCCACAAAAACAAATAAAGTGCATCTGAACAGAGCTATTACCTTGCTCTGATACCCATGGTCGCACTTAACAGACGTGGGGGACTTGAGTCACATGACTTGACGAGTGAGACTTCAGTCACCAATTTTCGGGTTTGCGTGTAAAACTTGTGAGAGCTCAACTTGACTTGGACTTGGTAGTCATGGGACTTGACTTGAAACACATGACTTGACAAGTCTTTCCCGTTTACAGTCCAAATTCAACATTTTCAGCACACTGACATTTGTTTTGCTTTTCAAAGACAAGTGGCTGTCTGCCAGAACTGTCTGTTCTGTTCCATAGAGACACACACACGCACACACGCGCGCACACACACACA